ATAAGCCTTTTCAGAGACAGGGCCCGCACCCAGTTCAGATTTACAACAACCAGTGCGGGTTTACGGCAGCCAATGCGGGTTTACGGCAGCCAGTGCAGGTTTACGGCAGCCAATGCGAGTTTACGGCAGCCAGTGTGGGTTTACGGCAGCCTGCCTCTCCACACACCGGATGGAGGGGAGTAGAGCCAGGCAGGCCTATCATGGCAGCTTCTCCCCAGACACTGACATCCACAGACTTAGGTTACACTGTTAAACTCACTCTAGATCCCAGTAGTGGGCTCATTGGCATATTACAGGATGCAAACCTGAGAAGCACAACTAATGAAGGTAATTCAGACTAAAATGTGAAAATATTTGGAGCACCCAAGTCCACTTGTTTGCCTATAATTAAGCCCCAGTGTGACAGGTAAGGTGNACTCACTCTAGATCCCAGTAGTGGGCTCATTGGCATATTACAGGATGCAAGCCTGAGAAGCACAAGTAATGAAGGTAATTCAGACTAAAATGTGAAAATATTTGGAGCACCCAAGTCCACTTGTTTGCCTATAATTAAGCCCCAGTGTGACAGGTAAGGTGATAAACACTGGCCTCTAGAAAACTATAAAAGGAGATAGAAATCCATAATAAGCAGTTATGTCTACAGTGTTCTGAACTATTGATTTTGGACCACAGAGAAGGAATACTTAGTTCGAGGGCTCATAGGAGGTACAGAGGAATTTTTGTTGTTGTTTAGTTGCTAAGTCATGTCCAACTCTTTGTGACCCCATGGACTGTAGCCCACCAGTCTCCTCTGTCCATCGGATTTCCCAGGCAAGAATACTGGAGTGGGTAGCCATTCCCTTCTCCAGGGGATCTTCCCAACCCAGGGATGGAACCCTTGTCCCTGCATTAGTAGGTGGATGCTTTACCACTGAGCCACCTGGGAAGCCTTATAAGAAGAATTTTAATTTGGATCTAATTTATTTCTTAGAATTATAGCTTCAAAATGGGGAGCTGCTGTGGAATATATGTGATGCAAGGGTATGCTAGCCTTCTGTGACCTTTCTTCTTCTTTATGTCAAAAGCAGGTTCCAGCCTGAATATCTTGGTTAGTGACAGAAAGAAGTTTCTATATAATCAGAGTGTAGCCTATCTCAGCTATAATCACATAGACAGACCAGCATTTGCCAAGACTGCATACAGAAAAGTCAACACTAGCCAAAGTTCCCTCTGTAACTTCTTTGATATACTAATACCCAGATGTACTGACTGCAAAATCTAATCATTAATAACTATATGACTCCATAGGGGAAACAAGTTAAAATACTGCCCCAAATCTTGAGAACTCCTATTTTGTATGGACTTCTCAGGTGGCGCCATGGTAAAGAACCTGCCTGCCAGTGCAGGAGAAGAAAGAGACGGGAGTTTGATCCTTGGGTGGGGAAGATCCCCTCGAGGAGGGCATGGCAGCCCAGTCCAGTATTCTTGTGTGCAAAATCCCATGGACAGAGGAGCCGGGTGGGCTACAATCCATGGGGTCGCAAGAGTCAGATACGACTGAAGCAATTTAGCATGCATGCATGTATTAGCATTATCAGTAAATTTTGTTGCTTATTTGCCATTAGAAATGAGATAGTTGAAAACAGTAATCTAATGTTACTAGAGGAATGTTAGAATTATAGCAAAACCTGATATCTGTGGATGGGATTAATGATCCCAGTCTTGAGCAGAAACTGATGACTCTAGAAGTGAGCGCAGAGGTTATCTGTAATACAGATCACTGCAGGCTTGAGTTTATGAAAGTTAGATCCACTAGGGCGCAGTAGTGTGCACACTTGAAGACAAGCCAAAAATAGCTACCACGTTACTGCCTTCTCCAATCCATTCATTCAACAGACATACCAAAGAATGATTACTGAGTGTCTTCTATGTGTCAAGCACCCTTCTCAGTACTTCTAGGCACTGGAGGCACAGTGATGAACAAGGTAGACAAGGCCTCCACTCCCAAGCTTACCCCGCAAAGGCTGTGCTCTTTAGTCGGGCATGCAGCCGGACAAGGTGAAAACAGAGATACTCGAGCAGGCCCAGGCTATATAATCAATATATCTATAGGTCTTTCCTGCCTTTTATGATGCTCTCTTTGTTATTAAGATCGTCCTTATTGCATACCCGACACAGACACTTTCAGGTGTGGAAAAAGATGGACAGTTGTTAAGTTAGTATACGCTAGCAAAGTAATGTTCAAAATTCTCCAAACCAGTCTTCAACAGTACATGAACCAAGAACTTCCAGATGTTCAAGCTGGATTTAGAAAAGGCAGAGGAACCAGAGAACAAACTGCCAACATCCGTTGGATTCATAGAAAAAGCAAGAGAGTTCCAAAAAAACATCTACTTCTGCTTTACTGATTATGCCAAAGCCTTTGACTGTGTGGATCACAACAGACTGTGGAAAATGCTCCAAGAGATGGGAATACCAGACCACGTGACCTGCCTCCTGAGAAATCTGTATGCNTAAAGAAAGCTGAGCACCAAAGAATTGATGCTTTTGAACTGTGGTGTTGGAGAAGACTCTTGAGAGTCCCTTGGACTGCAAGGAGATCCAACCAGTTCATCCTATAGGAGATCAGTCCTTTAGGAAGTCATTGGAAGGACTGATGCTGAAGCTGAAACTCTAATACTTTGGCTACCTGAGGGGAAGAACTGACTCATTGGAAAAGACCCTGATGCTGGAAAAGATTGAAGGTGGGAGGAGAAGGCGACAACAGAGGATGAGATGGTTGGATGACATCACCAACTTGATGGACATGAGTTTGAGTAAGGTCTGGGAGTTGGTGATGGACAGGGAAGCCTGGCGTGCTGTAGTCCATTGGGGTCACAAAGAGACACGACTGAGCGACTGAATTGAATAATAATAGCAAACACTTCAGTAGTACTTGCTATTGTCATTTAGTCACTAAGTCATGTCCGACTCTTTGTGACCTCATGGCCTGTAGCACAGCAGGCTCCTCTGTCCCTGGTACTTACTGTGTGGCCAGCACTTATGTATATTCACTCATTTAGTCTTACAACCATGATATGTCATATGTGTCTCATTCATCAGAGGCCGAAGTAGAGGCACTGCGAGCTCACGTGACTCGCCTGCGGGTGGTCACACGGCTGGTCAGCGATGCCACTGCCCTTCAGTTCCGTGCTGCCCAACGCTACCCCTGGTAGCATGTCCACTGCCTGCCTGGCCTTTGCACACGCTATTTCTTTCACTCTTGACAATCCTGTGAGGTCAGTGATAGGATCTCAATATGGCAGAGCAAGAAACTAAGGCTCAGAGAGAAGAAATGGCAGTGCCAGTGTTCAAACTCAGGACAAGCTGGCTTCAAGGTCAGTGCTCTTCACCATTGCCGCACCCTCTCTCTAAGGAGCCTGCCCTGGTGAGTTTGGGGGTCCTTAGGTACAGACTCACAGCTGTCCCTCCAGCAACCCGTTTCTTTCATCTATCAGCATGCCCTGGGAGATTATGTTTGAAGAGAGAGTTTAAAAGAAAGGCTGATAAAATGAAACCTTGGAAAAATAAATTTTCTTAGACAAAATAAAAGGCTTATCATGCAGAGCTGCAGAACAAGAATGTTTGAGAGGAGTCAGGAAGGTAGACGGAATGTATGCCTGCAGTTAGATATATGGAAGGTCTTCTGTGTTTAGACCATGGCATTTCCAGGATTTATTGAAGTAGAAGAGGTTATTTTTTACCAAGGCTTACAAGTTAGTTGAATACCTTTCACGGTATACATGGAAAGAGATGAGAGGCATACAGGAATCATAAGAGAACTGAAAGAGGCAAGGAGGCAAGCTAACAATGCAAATGAGTTGGGCCGTGTGGATAAACTCCAAGCATTTTGTGAAATCTGTTTTAGTCCTCAGCAGACACAGTACCTTTACCATCACCCGTCATTCAGGCTTTGATGAATTAGGGCTGACTGGAAAGTAGGACTTTTCATGCTGGCTAAATGATGGGGTAAGAGAATTGTTCAAGGATTCATGTTTAGCTATTTATCTTCCGTTTGAAAAGTATTTCTCTCCCACTTGTCTATCTAGATTTTTGGAAAATTCTCAAATCTCTGTAAGAGTTAGCAGATGATTTTCTGACTGGTTCTTTTGAGATGTTAAATGTTATTCCCAGTAACCGTCTATGTAGCCTTTTTGACACCTCTAAAATAGTTCTCAAGCCACTAAGATGATCTCATTGCCTTTTGAAGTGCTTTAGTCCCTCATATTGGGGGGATGGGGTGGGCAGCCTTGGCTGTTGGCTTCAGATTCTTTTCTAATGGCGGTTGGCCGATAACTGTTACCTGGGACACTGACCTTGGCAGGTGGGGTGGGACAGCAGGGAGCGTGGGGAACTGGCTGCTTGTTAAGGCTGATTATATGCAAAGCTACTCTGTTCTTCTGCCCCTTTCAGCTCCTTAGACATGTCCCAGGAGTTCAAGTTTCCCCTTAAGAATAAAAAGATGAGTTCTACATTCTGGCATCTCACGGGACAGGCAGTGAAGGGTTCGTCTGGGCTCAAGAAAGAGTGAGACCCATTTAAGTGCAGAGGTGTAAAGCTCTTGGTGTTCTGCTCTCTACACACTCTTTTCTGCTCCATTCCAGTGAATCAGAATTTGGTCCACAGTGGATCTCTGTCCCTCTCAGGACCCAGACACCTTGCCTTGCCTTACTGATTTAGCTGTGCCCTCCCAGTCCTTCTGACCTCACTTCCCTTTGCCCTAAGTCTTTGCTTTTTTTTCTTTATCTCAACTTTTAAGATTCTAGGCTTAGGCTAAGTCACCAGGCCCCATATCCATTTATAGGTCCGTATCCAATTCCTTCCAGGAAAACCATTCAAGGCAGATGTCCAAAACCCTTAACCAGCACCCCGCCTCCCCTAGTTTTAGTTCCTCAGCTATTTCCCATGTAAAAGCCCCAGGAAGCAAAGGCCACTGCTTCGGCCACAGGGGCCAGGCTCCCCCCACCCCCCACGGGTTTTACCTTAGGGTTTCCCCAGAGGAGCCCCTCCTCTTCCACAGGTTGACCAGGCTGCTGGACCTGCTGGCGGCCGAAGAGGACTTGCCGTCGCCCACGTGCATGCGCACCACAGTGGACGTGGTGAAGGCGCTGCGCACGTTCCTCTCGGGCTTGGCCAGGATGATGTAGACCTTGGGCACGAACATGCAGCCAAGTGCCACCGTGGCGCTGAGGCTGACGGAGAAGCACATGGTGATGATCTTATAGTTGCTGCCGAAGTAGATGGGCACAAAGGCCAGCCAAATGATGCAGGTGGTGTACATCGTGAAGGCGATGTACTTGGCCTCGTTGAAGTTCGCCGGGACGTTTCTGGTCTTGAAGGCGTAGAAGGTGCAGCTCAGAATCAGCAGTCCGTTGTATCCGAGAGGGGTGACGACCCCCAGGTTGGTGGTGTTACAGATCAGGTAGACCTCTCGGATGCTTGGATAGTCGTGCATTATATCCGGAGGCTCCATGATAAATAGGGCGACGATGATGCCCAGCTGAATGCATATGAGGATGAACGCAATCACCAGCTGGGCACAGGCACTCATGAATCGGGGCTTTTTGGTGCAGATCTTCTTCTTGCTGCCTGCCAGGATCCTCGCAATCCGATTGGTCTTGGTGACCAGAGCCGAGTAGCTCATGGCTGGGGAGAGACCAATACCTATTCTTTGCAGGTAGCAGTAAATCTGTTTGGGCTTCGCAATGAGGCAGAAGGTACACAAGTAGCCCAGGCAGATGCCAGCGAGGATGATATAGCAGAGTTCCCTGCTGGAGGACTTGACTACCGGCGTATCTCGGTAGATGATGAAGATCGCGGTGACAAACAGGGTGGCCAGCAGGCCCAGGCAGGCAAACACCACGGCTGCGATGGGCTCGGGGTCACCCCAGCGGAGATACTGCACTGGGATCAAGTCACAACCTGCAGAGACACAGACACACATTGAAGACGAGGGAAGAAATGTGGATGTGGGTCACTCTGCCTAAGGTACAAGCAGGTGCTTGTGGCTCTTTCGGCTGGTCTCCAGTCGACCCTTTTAACTTCAGTATCCCATACTGCTCCTTTCCTCAGATAGTTAGTCATCAAATATTTATCTTTGGATTACAAAATGCATACTCTGTGACAGGAGCTGTTCTGGGTTCTGAAAACAAAATGACAACGTATTCCCTACACTTAAACAAACGTGGTGGGGAAGGGGGGCACTTTTAAAGACTCACAGGTGGGATAAGGGCCATGTTGACACACAGCAAGGCTCTTGACTCCATCTGTGGGTAGTAAAGCCTCCTTCAACAGGAATGAGCGAATGCAAGCTTTGCGGTTTGGCTTCCTTTGTGGATTTGGTTGGTTTGGCAAACACAAATCAACTGTATGGAAAGAGCTTGGGATCACGGGAGGAGGTCACACACAGTAATGTGATGAGTGGCCTAAGATAAGCCTGGGACGTAGGCAGGAGGGGATCTTGGAGGGCAAAGAGTCTTAGATCGATGGGAAGTCATTGGAGGGATCTGTGCAGAGTAGAGGAATGAGGTGGTCAGATTTGTGTGTGTGTGTTTTAAACATTCTTTGGATTGCTGTGTGGACTTTGGATTGAGATAAAGGTGTAGAGGGATTTGAGTTATTTGAAATGACACAGACTGTTTACATGGATGAGAGGGTATGTGAAAGGTAAAGGCATTGAGGATGACCAACATTGGAACCATTTATGCTGTCTTTGACTCTGCTGCAAAAAAGCACAACAATTTGGCAACATTTGGGTTATGTGCCTTCTTTTAAAATGTCTTTACGACAGTGATTCTCAAACTTGACTACACACTGTAATCACTTAGGTATTTTTTAAGAATACTGTGGCTTAGGTTTCACTGCCAGAGTTTCTGATGTCACTGGCCTGGGCATCAAGATTTTTAAAAGGCACTCCAAGGGCTTCTAAGTGTGCAGCCAGAGTTGAGAACTATTGCTCTAGAAGAATCATTCCTGTCAATTAGATTTTTAAAACAGAACTGAGATATTTTTATTGAGTGAGTAGGAGAGGAGTTGGTTTTCCCTGGTGGCTCAGTGGTAAAGAATCTGTCTTCAGTTCAGGAGATGGGGTTTGATCCCTGGTTTGGGAAGATCCCCTGGAGGAGAGCATGGCAACCCACTCCAGTATTCTTGCATGGAGAGTCCCGTGGACAGAGGAGTATGCACGGCTACAGTCCATGGGGTTGCAGAGAGCTGGAGATGATTGAAGTGGCTAAGCAGCAGTAAGAGAGGATTTAAGTAATCTGGAGCCTTAGACAGTTCAGCAGTGTAGCGGAGATTACTGCTGCTGCTAAATCACTTCAGTCGTGTCCGTGCGACCCCATAGATGGCAGCCCACCAGGCTCCTCTGTCCCGGGGATTCTCCAGGCATGAACACTGGAGTGGGCTGCCATTTCCTTCTCCAGCAGAGATTACTAACTGCCTGCAGATATCCATTCTCCCCTTCTTCCTCAGCAACTATCTCCAGTTTCATTTGAGGGGGTAAAGGATGTAACTAAAATGCCACATTTACCAGCAGCCTTTGCAGTCAGATGTGCCATGTGACTAAGTTTTAGCCAGAAAAATATAAGTAGAGAACTCCTTAAAGGAAAGTGATTCATATTGGAAGTACCTTTTTGCGCCCTTCCCTGCTTTCTCCTTCTGTTGACTGGACTATACATGTGATGGCTAGAGCTCCAGCAGTTATCTTAGACTCTGAGGTAACATTAAAGTCAGAAAACATGTTTTGGGATTTGGAAGAGAAAAATACAGGGAGTCTGAGTCCCTGTTAACCATGAGACCACTGGCTAGCTCTGGACGATGTATGTCATATTTATCTTATGTAAATTACTTTTATTTCCCTGATATATGCAGCCAATGGAGAAGGACATGGCAACCTATACCAGTATTCTTGCCTGGGAAATCCCATGGCCAGAGGAGCCTGGCGGGCTACAGTCCATGGGGTCATAAAAGAGTCAGACACGACTGAGTGACTAGACAACAGCAACAATGCAGCCAGACCAAATCCTAACTGATATAGGTGTAACTTCCTATATTTTGTAGTCAAGGGTGTTGTATTAAGTGACTTTGAATGTCAGTGGTTAATGGGAGCTAAGGGAGGCAGCAATAATAGTATGTAATGATGGCTATAGGGGAGCAGAATTTGCTACCCCGAAAATATGTCTCTTTGACATGTTAATTACTTTAAGCTGGTTATTTTCTAAGAAACAGCAGACAAAGGAAAAACTCTGAAAACCAAATAGGAGGAGATGCCTTTTTGTCAGAAATGTTTGCATTCATAACGGAAAGCTCTCTTTGTAAGGGGATCTCCCTCACTCTATAGAAGAGGAGGATGAACAAATTGCTAGAAATTCTGATTGGTGGAGAAGGCAAAGACTTAAATATGCATAATGACATTTGTTCCCCTTATTACTGTGCTTTTTCTCTGCTAGCTGACTGTTGCCACCCATAACATCTTCTTTTGTCTTTAGCTGAGGATGGTATTTAAGGTAAGGGCTTTGGCCATTTTGGTGAGTTCCTCATTTTTCCTCAGTCTCTCCCCTGTCTACAGGTTATTAAGCTCTTCAATTTCTCTTCTTAATGTCTCGTGTCAATTTAATTCCTAGACCAGCCAGAAGAACGTAGAAGGGCAGAGGAAAATTTCTTTCTCCCTGATAGTGACAAAGAAGTGTGTGGTTCTTTCAAAATATGTTAAAGGGCAGCTCTGTTGTAAAAAGGAATGGAAACATTCTTTTTTCTTTCCCTTATTTCTGACTTGCCAGTCTCTTTCTTCAAGATCTTAGGTTTCAAATGGTATTATTAGTTTATAATAAGATCCATTATGGGCTTAATAAGATTTGTGAGTTAGCTTAGGATCCCCGGAACACTTTACAAAGTAGTTTCTGTGGGTAAATATATGCTTATTTAAAACACCTGTGCTTTTAACTTTAAAAAGTGTGTATGTGGATAGCCCAGAGCAAATATGACAATTATTTTATATAGTGTATAGAATTATAAATAAATGCATATAACATTGCTGATGAATGTGTGTGTTAGTTGCTCAGTCATGTCTGACTCTTTATGACCCCATGGACACAGCCCACCAAGCTCCTCTGTCCATGGGATTCTCCAGGCAAGAATACTGGAGTGGGTTGCCATTCCCCTCTCCAGAGGATCTTCCGACCCAGAGATCAAACCTGGGTCTCTTGCACTGAAGGCAGATTCTTTACCACCTGAGCCAGCGGGGATGCCCGCTAATGAATATACCTGTATCCACAGTCTAGGCACCCATGTTCACATATGCTGCTTACGTGTAGGAATTCAGCTTCTGAGACTGTAGTATACCATAGGGTTTAGGTTCATATTTACAAATTTGCTCCTCATAGAAACTATTTTACAACAAGAAAATAGGGACCAGTCATTCCTATCATTATTCTTCCATAACAGTTTATAATAGTGATATGGCAGTGAAATTTATGGTGTACTGTAGTTAATTCTCTAGGAGTCTATTTCCCCTGCTAGGTCCTGAGCTACTAAATGACCATAGTAATTTACTTATAGAGGAAAGATATTATGTGGTACAGGAGGCAGGAATCCCTTCATTAGCTAAAGAGAATCTCTATACATATATATTTCCCTGATGACTCAGTGGTAGACTCTACCTGCCAATGAGGGAGATGCAGGTTCAGTCCTTGGGTTGGGATGATCTCCCGGAGAAGGAGACAGCAACACACTCCAATATTCTTGCCTCAGAAACCCCATGGACAGAGGACCTAGTAGGCTATAGTCCATGGACTCGCAAAGAGCTGGCTGCGACTTAGCGACTAAACAACAACGAGGCCTTTCACTGGACTCCCTTCTTTTTGTCACCCCATACTGTTTTGTGGAATCTTAACTGTTTTTGTATAAATGTAATTCGGACACTAATTACTAAATGCTTTCTATATAAGATTCACCACTATTTTTATGTCAAATATATTCTTAAACTCTTCATGTGCAACCTGTTAACATCATGTGTGAACCTAAAGAAAACCCCACTAGATATGTGTTGGAAGAAATGTGTATAAGGGATGCCTCTAATGTGTTGTGACTATTTTCACAAACTTGTCAGAATTTATACATTCAAATGAGTTTTTTTTCCATTTGACATGAACCACTCCAAAGACTTTATGTTGAGTTTAATGATGCTGCCATTGCACAAAATACTTTTGAAACTATTCTCTTGGAATAGCAAATGGGATTCTGATTAGAGTGTTATAATCGCTGAATCTTATAATTGGATAAGATCTTAGAGTTTCCAAAAATGAATGTGCATCACAGTCACTTGGAGAGTCTAGAAAAATACAACTCAAGAGTCTAAACTCAGGAGATTTCGAATCAGTACATAGGGGGTGGGAAAAAGGAATTTTTCTTGAATAAGAAGGCTCAATAACGGATGTGAGAGTTGGATCATAAAGAAGGCTGAGCGCTGAATAATTGATGCTTTCAGACTCTGGTGTTGGACAAGACTCTTGAGAGTCCCTTGGACTGCAAGGAGATCAAACCAGTCAGTCCTAAAGGAAATCAACCCTGAATATTCACTGGAAGGACTGATTCTGAACCTGAAGCTCCAATTCTTTGGCCACCTGATGTGAAGAGCTGTCAATGGAAAAGATCCTCATGCTGGGAGAGATTGGAGGCAGGAGGAGAAGGGGGCAAGAGAGGAGGAGAAGGGGGCAAGAGAGAATGAGATGGTTGGATGGCAGCACCGACTCAGTGGACATGAAACTGAGCAAACTCTGGGAGACAGAGAAGGACAGGGCAGCCTGGTGTGCTGCGGCCCATGGGTCACAAAGAGTCGGACACAGCTGAGCAACTGAACAACAGCAAAGTTCAGTGACTGTACAACCAGCCCCGGGTTGGCAGCCCAGCCGTGGAGATCATCA